ACAATTTTGACAATTTAGGAGGCTGTCTGCTTCGACTTATCTGCCATCCCTCTAGAAACCAGGGATACTCGATAGAAATGATACTTTCCCACATAGGGATCCAATTCATGTCTTTTGCGTGCAACTATGAGTACTCTTATGGAAGGACGAGGGAGGAAAGAAAGAAGAGGCGATACAACACATTTTGTCTTCACTATGCACTTATTAGACTAACATATTATTATGTTTATGTAGCAATTGTACCTGCAGTTAAATGAGCCGCACACATAATTGTTCTTAGTATGCACTTGGTTTTTGTGTTACATACATAATATAGCATGACGACACGGTTCTGTTATCATGGCTTATGGAGCGTAACCAGTTTGCATTTCCTCTCTCCTCATGGTGCATCATTTAGTATTAATATTTTTTTCAAAAGTGTCAGGCTGTTATCCTAAATTTAGACATTTCCATTTTTACTTTAAACATGTTTTTTAAAAACCGGAAATGAGACATGGGTGCAACATTATGACAGAGAAAACGAGCGTCAGTTGATGGAAGACAGGTATACATGTATTATAACTCCCTTAGTCCGAAAAAAGTTATGTTGTGTCTTAGCAAAACAAGTGCTTACCATTTCCTGGGGCAGGGACAGCATCGTCCACGTGGAGTTTCTGGAACAAGGGAAAGTCATTGAACTGAGAACAATATGTTGCAATTTTATAGGTTACACGCCAGGATGAGATGGGTTCACCCTGGAAATAATCAGATGCGATACTGATGCAAGACAATGCACGCTCTCACACACGTCGGTAGACTCAAACTCAAGACACTACGAAAATGTTGGACTTGTTTAAACATGTATTATAGAACAACAATTTGGGTTTTCTCAAGTTTCTTAAAATTTAAAACAAAACGGAGGTGGGTCATACTGACAGCATCATACCGACACGTGTCTTTTCCTCTGTGCCATCTACGTAATTTACCTAGCTACGCAACGATACCGGTAAACCGTGATGATTAGATCCACTCTTAGGGCAAAATTGTAAGAGGCTTTTTGTGTAACGTTATAGAGGGCACCGTGGAATGGGTTGAGTGCATTGGTCTATCAAAGTACTATACCACTGTAAAGTCCGTCAATTTAACCCATTCAAACTGAGACGTTTTCATCTACGTTGGTACCTACAAGTACAAGCTATTTGTTCATTCAAGAGAGATTTGAGCACAAAGCTCCCTCTCACTTTTTTAGAATGAGCAGCTGCAAAGCTGTAACTGAATCTAGATCTACTAAAACTTTCCCTGTGAACCAGTTTTTAAAAAATAACGGTAAGGAGCCAGTTTTAATAAATGCAAGAGCATTACGTCTACACAGCAGTAAAGAGGATAACTTAACTACTGCCTTAACCACTGAAGTCTGTTGAGCAAAGGCTGGCTTCTTCGTTGCTGCATGTAAAAGAACCGAATTCGATTCCCGTTAGAAGAAGCCAATGATATAGAGTATAGATGGAAAGCTGTACCCATTTAATCCTAGGTTGTCCGTGACAGGCAAAGGCGAAGTTGGAGTAACAAACCCCCAAAATGATATAGAATGTGTCTTCAGAGCAACATTTGCAAAATCAAACATTTTACAACCAATACTGCCCCAAGCTCATGCAAAGTAGCTGCCGTAGTCAAATGACAATTTATGCACCAATGCCTGTTTGGTACAATAATAATTTATAAAAGACAAAATGACTTTTTAGTACAACAATATAAAAGTCAGACTAAATTACATGTATAAGCTTAAGAGGTGCTCCGTTATCTCAAAGCGTGCCGGACAATGATTAGATGCGGATGGCCCTGGTTCGAATTCGAAAACGGGCAACTTGGAACTTGGAATGTCCGAGGAGTTTTCATGTTATAATTAGGTTCTTAGACGCTGCACACCAGAGGTGTGTGTTCAATTCTGCGTAGAGAAGATGTTTTATGTAGTATGTCCTTCGTTGTGCTAAGAGACTGGTTTGAAGAAGTCAATCTCATATTATGGGGGTAGGCTGAAATACCATGCTTTTCTGCAGCAATTTTTTAAAAACCGGAAATGAGACATGGGTGCAACATTATGACAGAGAAAACGAGCGTCAGTTGATGGAAGACAGGTATACATGTATTATAACTCCCTTAGTCCGAAAAAAGTTATGTTGTGTCTTAGCAAAACAAGTGCTTACCATTTCCTGGGGCAGGGACAGCATCGTCCACGTGGAGTTTCTGGAACAAGGGAAAGTCATTGAACTGAGAACAATATGTTGCAATTTTATAGGTTACACTCCAGGATGAGATGGGTTCACCCTGGAAATAATCAGATGCGATACTGATGCAAGACAATGCACGCTCTCACACACGTCGGTAGACTCAAACTCAAGACACTACGAAAATGTTGGACTTCTTCGTCCTGCCACATTTGTCATACAGTCCGGATCTTGTTCATTCGGATTTTTCCCTTTTCCCTAGGACCACCTAGAAGGAAACTGCTAGGTCAATGATGCTGATGTAGGGGCCCACATTTGGTTGTGGTGTAGTCAAAAGTATGCTGATTTCTTCTTAGCTGACGGGATGCGCCAACGAGTCCTTCTTTGGAGTCTCCGTGTAAACAGCAACGGAGACTATTTTGATATTTTTTAAAGTTTGAACATTGTTTTTTTTCCGTTTTTAACTCTTTTTAAACAAACAAATAATTACAAAAACCCAACAACAACAAAAAACAAAAAAACACAAAAATCTCCCCAAACCAACAACAACAAAAAACAACAACAACATACAACCCCCACATGGAAAGGTGAAGAATATTTACACCGTGATATTATGCAAGCGCCGTCTGTTGCCGTACGGAAGAGCTTAAAGCATAGACATCCAGAAAAGGGAAACAGAAAAAGCAACAACAACCCATAAGCAAATACTCCTCGTTTTGTTCTGAAAGGAAAGTTCAGTAGTGTGCGTTGTTTGCAAGAGCTCTCTGTTGTGCTGTATTCTGCCCATTTCCGTAGTGTTATATAACTTATTTACAGACACTTGTAGGGCATGGCATTAATGATAGGGGAATACAATGTAAAGATTGTAGTTATTTTAGAATTCATACAATAATTTTATTGGAAAAGGACGCAAGTAAAATCAAATAATACGAAAGCTAAAAAGGTTAAGACAGCAGATATTGAGCAGATAATGAATTATGCGGCAGAGCAGACATTCGTTCTGTTCAACATAAAACTATAAGAATAGGGAACCCATCTCGTTCACATGACATCAAAGAAACAAATTTGCCTTATTAAATCTCCTTCTGCAAAGCCAGCAGGCTTTCTTGGGATCGGACTGTTCGAATCAAAGAGCACAGCCTGGCAACGCGAGGTGCTGGCTCATTTATTGTTTTCTTTATCGGTTTTTAGCGGGTAGATTGTCTTTGTAGGCGTTCGATATAGTTGGAGGATCAAGGGAAAAAGAGAAAGGGGGAGGGGAGGGGAGATGAGTATAGACAGAAAGAAAATGAGAGAAAGAGTGTGAGAAAGAGAGAGAAAGAGAGAGAGAGAGAGAGAGAGAAAGA